TTTCTCAGTTTTTTCTCCCTTTTCATTCACTGACTTGCAGCCTGTAAGAAATGTTTGGCCCTCAAATCCCAGCTGAATAATATTTGTTTAGCAATTAGAATGAAAGCAGCTTGACAAACAGACACTTCCCTGCAGAACATTTGTGCCACTGTGTGACTACAGGCATTCCCATCCCAGAGCCAGTCGTATTTCCAAGCGGGTGTTAGTTTTGACTAGTGATGACAAGTCGTACCAGTAATGACAATAGTTCGTGAGTTACCCATTTATTTTGCCTCTCTTGCTGGTAATAAAGAATGAAAAAGTCTTCTGAATGTGGATGGGGACAATGAAGTAAGAGGCAGGGAAGGGGCAAAACAGATAAATGTTACACTAACACTGCTACAAGCCGCTTGGATTATAGTGAAGTAGTGATTTTTGTAACCTCCAAAATTGAATGTTGAACTTAGTAACTCAAAATAATAGTTAAATAATTTTTCTTGTATTCTAAACTTTCCAAAGTGTCTTTTGTCATTCTATTCTTTCCAGATTTTGCATTTTGCATCAAATCTATTTGATTTGAAATATTGCTATATCTTTCATAGAGGCTGCATTTGTCTGTCCACAGGTTAAGAGCAGGAAGGGGGACCGCCAAGCTGGTTTTTCATGCTCCCTGTTTTTATAGCATTTCCATGTTTATGAGTAACCCATCTCTAGTAATAAAAGAGTGACTCCCATTTGTGTGTTCATTAGGTTCTGGTCTCTGCAATGCAAGCTCCTAGCAGTGCTAGTTGTATTGCCACAGACATGACCGGGTATTTTGGAGGTCGCAATCAGCCTTTTCCAAAGTAGACAAAAATGTCATCTCAGCTTAAAGAAGTGATAGGAGCTTTACTACTAACCAGTCACTTTTACACTAGTAACCTAGAAAGATTGTCTTTATTTCTATTTATCCTATCTTGTTATATGCCTGTGGAAGATGGTATGCAGTGTATTCTCTAGAGTAGCCAAAGATTCATTACCTGGGGGGAGTCAAAGGAAATGTGTCACTTGAAACATGAATCAATGGCCAGAGTCTGAAGAGTAATTAAGGAACAGAAGGACTGATAAAAATATCTTTTTTCTTGCTGTCACTTTTCTCTTTCTTTCTTCATCTTTTTCTCAATGTTTTTTTTTTGCTCCTTTCTATCGTGTTTATTATTGTTTGCATTCTGGTAACATGTAAAGGCCCAGTCTGAGGTTTTGTTGTGGTAGATGATGTATAAAATGGAAGGTAAAACCACATCTCATTAAAGACAATAGGATTAACCCTGATGTGGCCAACATTTCAGGGAACACGCTAAGAGATGGTGCCTGTCCTAAAATTCTTGTCGTTATAAAAGGTGAGAAACTCAGATAAAGGCAGGAATAAATAAATAAACAATGCAACATTTGTTACTGTATGTTTCTTAACATTTAATTAATGTGAAAATGTTTATCTTCCCTGTTGATTATCAGATTCTTTTCTCTTTCTAAAGAACAGGGGTTCTTCTTCCCCTCCACTGTCATTAGAGATCAATCAGTCTCTTCTGGAACAAAAAGATTGTTTGAAATTACTTTAATGAAGCTGTAACATTTTAGATTCATTCTGTGGTGTTCTTTGACCCAGTATTGTCCCTAGAGTCTAGTCTGGAATCTAGCTTCCACAGAGGAGTTGCCTGCCATATATCCATAAAAAGTGATCATTCTCCTCTAATCTGCTTTTAGTTTTAAATTATCAAAGTCATGACAAGACGAGCAAATGCAAAGCATCTAGGAAGTGAGGCAGTCGACACCCTCAGAGGCTCAAAGCGTCACTTTGAGGACAGCCCCAGCCTTTAGGCTGAAGTGTAGACTTTGCTAACTAAGCCATTAGGGCCGCCAAACGGTACTGCTTCTGCAATAATTTTTAATTCCAACCAAGCTCTTAATTCTGAAAATCAAAACCTCCTCCTGAAATTGCAGTATGAACAGTAACTAGCAGATAGAGCATTAGTTGCCATAGAGAGACAATTATCAACTTCCTCCTCTCTTCTCACTCTTCATTAGTAGTACATTTTTGCTTTATCTATTATTTTGGGCTTATTATTTATTAGACTTTCCTGAAAATATTTTCAGAAAGAAGTAAAACACCTACTTATTTGCAGTTGTATATAGCTTTTCTTTAAAAAATCAAATGTCTCTTTCAGCCTCTGTCAGTACTATAATTATCACAATAAGAAAAAACCCCATACTTTGTAAAGCCTGTTGAAATTGTTTATATAGGGCACAATAGTGTCTAAATATCTGATTGGCAGGATGAAGTACCTAAGAACAACCAGTTTGAAAGCTTGTTCTTATCTGTTTCAACTTGTAAGATCTCACTGAGTGTATGTGCTTTTTATATCATTAGCGCCTCATTTCTAAGCTAAAAAGGTACTGAGACTTTCTGGCTCCCCACATAGAATCACAAACTAGCAGAAGTGTTTTCCTGTAATGCTTTATATGCTGAATATAATTCTGTAGTTCTGAGATACTTAGAAGAACATGGAGATTGTATTAGTTATTCACAGAAATTCATTTTGCAGATGCTTTTGTGATGGCCTATGGGTCAACTTGCAAATATTCCCCCAGAGATCAAGCACAAAGCACATCAACTCTCTGGCTGCTTTTTCAAGTCCTTCAAGTATAGACTTGCTTAAAGCAGATACAGCCAGAGCTTCTTGGCCTTCTTGGGATGGTTGTAATTTATTACTCTAAGAAAGAACTGTTTTCTAACATAACCTTTCTCTGAAAATAGATCATTCATGGTGGGTTTTATTCTTCTGTTTTGTTTTTTTTTTCTCATCCTATCTGCATTCTATCCAGATTAAGAAGCTGGCCTATAATCTTGATACTAGTAAAGATACTCTTTGTCCACGTTAGGATTGAAAGGCCAGGCCAAAATTGTGTAAGAAATGGCAAAAGGCAAAGCTGTAGTGAGTAAGTAACTTTGGAAAAGTAAAAGATGGAAAGTCATCATATGGATTCAAATATATATTCTTTCCTTTGCTGTGAGTAGATTAGCTGAATAACAAATGGCAACTTTTGCACCAATAATAATTTATTTTTTTTAATTTGTCACCAACTTCCTAATTGCCCCCATACTAGTTACAAATTCTATAGTAGTATTTTAAAAGATGGGACAGACATTACATGATGTATTTGATTTTTCTCAAATTATATAGCCATTTGTCTCAACAAATGTTTCAGCTTTGACTTACTATGTTTGTAACTTATTAAAGTTTCACAATAGATATATTGTCTCTCAAAGGATGGTATCTTTGATATACATGTTCAAAGCTTTCTGACAACAATGGACAGAGCCTCATTAACCATACACGCCCCTAAACTGGTCCTACAAGCAGGTTGCTCGGCAAAACTACCATTCCTTTTTGCAATAAAAAGCTGACTGCAGCTGCAGCCTCCTGTAAATGCTGAACACCTGTAGCGTGGTACTTAACTTAGAATAGTATTAACGTAGTTTTGCATCGCACATTTGCCACAAACCTGTCTTCTTTTATGTGCGTGCATGTTAGTATACAAATTGCCAAATTGGTGTCAGTTGTAAAGTAATGGCATTGGAGGCATCATAAATTACCATTCTTCCTCAGGAGAAGACACTGCCGTATATGAATGAGTGTTTTGCTCTCAGGATAATGTATGTCTTCATCTGGCCCAGTAGTCAGCATATTGCCCTGTGTTGATGGATATAGTCAGCTTGAAACTACACTACATTTCACTGCACAATAAACATGGCTGTCAACACCATATAAAGCAAAATCAATTTATCCTATATGGTCAGTGCGTTTTAAATGAAATTAATGTACTGTGGACCTGGTGGCAAAAAGGTAGTGTATTAGTTATGCATCCTCTATTTTAGGACTTTTTTTCATGAAAATGTATTTCCTCTATAGGATTTTTTAAATGGTATACCTGACATATACTGTTTTCACACTAAATTAGGAAACTTAGTTTTTGCACAATTAAAAACTTGTGAGTCAGTTACTGAAATCAGTAAATCTGCAGTGTTTTACTTAGTGTAAAGAACTAATCATATTATTTGGCAAATAAATCCATGTTGGGAGCTGTAATAGCTTACAAAAAAGGAGGCCTATTGCTGTGCTAATTTGTTGTCAAGTACCTTGCTTTTTCAAGGTATTGGATATCATGAACAGTTTCATGAAGCCGAAGACGAAGTATGTCACTCCCCCAGTGTAAAGACTTTTTGCCTTTCTTTTATATCTAAGGTATAACCCTAAAACATATGTTATCATCACAAAAGTTTTTCTGGTGAAAGGATGCCGAATCTAGTTCCTGATTCTCAGCTCTGTGAACTCTAAACCCCCACGAAGCTTTGCTGTTTGTGGTCAAGAAGCAGGGCTGGAAGCTCCAGGATGCTGTGCGTGTACCTGTTGAAGGCAGACAGTTTTATTACATCTATGTGATCAAATGCTCCAAGACACATCTAAAATTCACCTAAAGCAGATATGACTTTAAATTGTTCAGGTCCAAATATAATCGGATTCATACAACTAGCAGCATGTACCTCATGTACTATATAATATATTTTATGAAATGTTTGGCATGTGCTTCACTGCTCAAGCAGCAAAGTCATTGTAAATTACTTGTGTGAACAGGTCTACATCAGTTTGGATTCTCAGTGTAACTTTTATGTGAGTTTTGTTGAGTATTCAGAACATCTATGCTATGTTAAAAGTCCCAAATGGAAACTTTTTCAAATCACTATACCTGAACTGGAGAAATACCAGTGCCATTTGTTTCCTCACTCAGGTGTTGATGCAATTACACTGAAATCACTGGATAACCTTTCTCTCTCCCAGTCTCTCTCTCTCATAGATCTGGCAGCAGAAAGAGAGAGAGAAAAAGAGAATGAGGCTAAAATACACACAGCACTGAAAGCACTTGCATGGTCCACATAATAATGTTTTGCATCCATCTTGTTTCTTCCTGCCCTGACATTACAGGAAGTAAAGCAATGAATGGCTCTGCAGCTAAACTACAGCAGTATTATTGTTGGCCAACAGGAGGTGCCACTGTGGCTGAAGCTCGAGTCTACCGGGATTCAAGGGGCCGAGCCAGTAGCGAACCGCACATCAAACGACCAATGAATGCTTTCATGGTTTGGGCAAAGGATGAGCGTCGAAAAATTCTCCAAGCCTTCCCTGACATGCACAACTCCAACATTAGCAAAATCCTAGGTAAGTGCAAGACAATAAACAAATGATGACTGTGACTGAACCAAAACTGAGGGAAGATTAGAAGGCTCTGCTATAGTAGTAGCAATTGGCAGAGGTTAGTTATTTTTGGAGCCATGGAAAGATGAGGTTATTTATATTGGTGACACAGGCTAGTTACTTCCTTTTTGGATATGCAACTTCTCTAATTTTAGGACTTATTTTGTTTGGGAGATGTTCACTGGAATTGGAATTACTGAAACTTATACAAATGAAGACTCATGGGTTGTTTTCATTTTCATTCCCTTCCTTTTCCCTTTCTGGCCCTTCCCTAATGCTTTTTATTTTCAGCAGCAGAGTCACAACATGCTTTAAAGACCTAGGAGCTTTCAAAAGGAATATTTTGTGAAATCTGTTGCAAGAATGTATCCTGATAAAAGGTCTAATAGCAAGATCCCCATTAGAAGTCACCTGAACTACAAATCACCTGAATGCAAAATTGTACTTGTGGAGTAATTACTGGGAAAAAATTAATAAAGTACAAAATCAAAATCAAAGGTTTATGTCAGACAGTGCAGTGTCAAAGAAAGAAACAGTTCAAAAGACATGTACATGCATAACCTCCTCGCATGCAAAATGATGTTTGATTCAAAATGTTACCATGTTCAAAAAGCTAAGGAAGCACTAGCATCATGTAATTAAAATATTGCTTAGTTAAAAGACAGATAGTTAATATTTAATTTGCACAGATTAGGATGATCAGGGAATGTGCCATGGATTATATTTTGCCACTGTGCAAATAAATTGGCTCATTTTTGAGAAATTTTGATTTGCTTTTTAAGACCCCTCCAGAGAATTAGAAACATACGTGAGAATGAGTGGTGAAATGTTAAAACCTATATTTGCTTTCTGAGTCTTTGAAGTGAAAGACAGATTCCAAATGTAACTCATAATAAATGAAAGTAAAAATCAAGTTTCCTCTGTAATCATTTTATTGTAAACTTAGAGTTCAAATACATTCTTACTAAAGTTTGTTGCATGTTAGTTCAATCAGAGGCAAGAATACATAGAAATAAATGGTACTTTGTCCTAAAACTTCCAAAATCTTACTTAGTAGTTCTCATATTTTTGTCTACCATATAAGTAAGTTACATGAATAGCCTTTCAGTTTTGTATAAAACCTGCACTGTTTCAGTGTTGGCAGCTGTAGGGAATCTATATTATTTGTGTGCATTCTGTGAAAAAACTATTAGGAGCATAGTAACTGTATTCATTAAAATGTAAACTTCCAGCATAAATATTTCAGAAGTGCCAGCAACTGAGTGTTTGTTAACCATGGAATTAACCTGTCAGTATCTGCTCTGCCACAAATAAGTCTATGTCCATATAATATCTGTGCAACTTTTCCAGGACAATGAGAAAAGAGACTGAAATATTAGAACTGACACAGAGTATTGCTGGCTACGGATAATATTTATACAACTTTTCCATTTGTTGATGTATGAAAAATCTTGGTAAAAGAATAGCTTCCACCCACGTTTACCACAGCTGTAATCGTTCTATTCATCTAAAAGACACCAAAAAGCTGTTTTCCGCATTTCTTATCCCCTGGAAAAAAAAAAAAAATCCCTTCTCTATTCAAGTGTTTAGATAGCTCCTTATAAACAATACAAGAGATCTGAATACTTTATCCTCTTCCTGTGTACACTCTGTTAATTTTTAAACTTTTTTATTGGTGCAGCTTTCAATGAGAGTTTACAGTACCTGAAGTGGTGTATGTAATTACAATGTGCTTTCTGTTTTTCGGGTTTTTTTAAAATATAAGTTAGTTAAATGTAACTTTCTCAGTGCAGTTCTGTGCATTTATTATATCTGGTCAGAAGATAATATGCATAATAGGATTTAAAATACGGTAAGGTGCCAATATTATGCCAACCTTATATCAGCCGATTAGTAAATTTAAGACACCCAGACAGCAAGGGATTTTTTTCATAATGTCATTGAATCTATAAGATTTTGATAATTTTTTCCTGCTACATAGCAAGGTATTAATATCTATTAGCAGGAGTGTGTAAACCAAATCCTCATAAATCTGTCAAAGCAGCATGTATCCCTAGGCAATGTGTTAAGATTTTAACAGTGAAAGTATGGTTGTAGGCCTTACTTAACCATAATACTGTGCGTGGTGTTACAAAGGTATAGAATTATTCACAGATTAATGTTCATGTTGTAAAAAATTAAGTAGTTGGGTTTGCAGCGTGAGGCTGAGATTTTGAGAAGTAACTATTGATTTTAACTGCACCAATTTAATAGAGATTTACATATGTTTGGTCTGCAGCAATATCTGAAAGTCAAGGTTCTTTTAAGGTGTCTCAGGTTGTGCATCCCAATATATGCGCTGGCTGATGTAAATTCAAATCAGTTTATTTAATTAACTTATTTAAAATCTGTTTATTATTGCAAGAAGGCATGTTGAAATGTGTTATGTGTAAAGCTAAACCTGCTTTACTTGAGCACTCACTGATGTTTTGTGTTAACAGGATCTCGCTGGAAGTCCATGTCAAATCAAGAGAAACAACCTTATTATGAAGAGCAGGCACGGCTAAGTAAAATCCACCTAGAAAAGTATCCTAATTACAAATACAAACCTCGACCAAAACGTACCTGCATTGTTGATGGAAAGAAATTGCGTATTGGTGAATACAAACAACTGATGAGGTCTCGAAGACAGGAGATGAGGCAGTTTTTTACCGTAGGGTGAGTACTATTGTAATTGTTTTCAGAGACAGAGCGTGCTGTTTGAAAACAGACAGACTTATCTGTTTAAGTCGCTGACTAATGTCATTTAGAAGGTAAAGATTTGAACCTGTAAAACCTTATTAAAAACATAAGATGTATCATGGAATATGGAGCTATCAGTTTGCCACTGAATGCTGATTATGCGACTGATTGTGGAATTCTTTAAAGTCAAAAGAAGTTGTTTCCCATTAGCCTGAAAGGTTTGAATCATGTCTTTTGTGAGTTATTAGTAAGCTAATCCATTCTGGGTTAGTAATGACTCCAGGATCATTTCCTAAATTAAGACAAGAACAAAGAGAAAAGCACAAAAGATTATTCCAGTGTAGAATAAGGACTCAGGAGAGGGGGGAAAAGGGAAAAGGGACAAGAGTAATAGCAGTTTCATTAGGAACACAAATGAATGAATGATATCATAGCATGAGGCTATCAGGAATTTTTTTATATATAGAACTGTGGAAAAAAATATGTTTTAAAAATAAATCTTTTAGGAAGAGTCTTCCAAGTAGTACATAGATAGACTGGGTAGATTTACAACTTGGAATACATGGCTCAAAAAGATCCTGGCACAGTTTTAAAAACATTGTGTGTTTTTTAACAGTATTTCCTCTAGTCTTCAGCAGAGAAAGCAGCAGTACGAAAGATCTACAGGCTAAAGATAACAAAAGTCCAGTGAAACAACTGCACCATAACTGATTTCTCTCCTGTTTTTTTTTTTTTTATGAATTAATCTGTGATGCTCAGTGCTCTAACACAATCTTTCTGGTGGTTTATAAAGAGTCTAAAAGCGATCTCCAGTGCCAGCCTTTCCAAATTCACAATGTTCTGCTTATTTCTCTAATCACAATAGTCTCCTTTTGTTGGGTACTTCACTACCAGATAATTGACCTTGACGTCGATTATGTGCCCTCATTTTTGGCTTGGGATGCAGAACTCCTGTTGCAGTCAATTATTTTGCGGTACAGCCTGCAACAATGTGGGCTCTTTCTTCAATCAGTAAATAGAAATGTTTCTGGTATCTTGAAATAACCTTCCAGGCTATAGTTTTGACATTGTTTTTTATTCTTCACTCTAAAGGAAATTGTTTACTAATAGGCTTCCATCAACATTGTACATAGAACTCTAAATAGAAATCTGAATTTATACAGCACGTCACAAATTATATTCAGATTGAGGGAATGAAACTCTAGCTTATGTCTTCCAAAGCAGATCGACAGACCAAATCACATCTACACAAGAAATGCAAAAGAAATGCCAAAACAGCAGTCTGAACAATTTGAGAATTGTTTGCTAATTCAAAACAGTATTAAGCAGTAGGATTTTACACATTGGAATTGGTGGCTAAAAATGGAGGTGAATTTATGGAGGACAGATTTAAGAAACTTCTAAAAGTGCCTACTAAGCGTGATACCGTGATTTAAAAAAAAAAAAAAAAGCTACTCAAAATTAAACTGCTGGTGCAACCTAAATGTAACTTCTTTCTCATATATCAAACAAAGACCATGAGAATGTCAAAATTTTCTTGAAAGGATTGGTTCTTATTCGTATTTATGCTAAGACCACTTCACGCTGCTCTATCCATGTTGAAGAAGTTTTAAAGTAAGAGTAAATGACCTTTGTTCACTTATGTAATGATGCAGTGGACTCTACCAGAAAGAATGACTTTTAGTTATGCAAGTGATGAAAAAGGGGGTATGAGGAGTCCAATGGATGTATTCAATAAAGGTGAAATGAGATCCATGTTGCAGCGCAATATGAATACAAATTTTGATACTGAGGAAACACAGGCTGTGATTTTAAAAAAATATTTCATGCTTTTCTGCGACTTCCCAATGTTGCCCCAAATTCCCTTTTTGCCTAAAGGAAAAATTAAAACAAAGTTGTTGGAAGAGACCAAGCAAAAAAGGTGAAAAAACCAGACCAGGACAGCTTTTTTGAACTGAAACATAAAACATGGCATCATTTATTTCAGCAGAATAGTTTACTGAGTAATAAAAAGCAATATTTCATCCAAATCAGATTATAATTAAGTGAAACACAGTCATCGAGCCCATCAACTTCTCAAACTTACTCTTCCTTGTGTTTAGTGTAAATATCACATAAAGCATCGGCTGGAACAGTTTTCCTAACTGACCTCATACACCCATCATTTTTCTGCTGTTTTTATGGAACAAACAGCATAAACCATCCTTCAGAACTGTAGACGTGGGAGTTGAGATGCAGTTTCCTTTTCAGAATGAAATAGGAGACAAATGTTGTTTTTTAGGATTGAATATACTCTATGTTTACAGTAAATATTTCAGCATAAGATAGAGAACAAAAGCACAAAATAGATTCCAACGAGATGTGCCAAGGGCTTCATACTGCCTGAAGTCCTGCTGCTTCTTGGGGTTTTTTTAAAGAATGTACCAATTAAGTTGGGAATGAGTATGCCAAAATGGCAAAAAATTATCATCACAGAACAAAAAGATAAATAGGAGATGTGTGAAGAGAAAGATACACCTTCAAAACAGGTGGGTAGAGAAAAGTATAAATAGCCAAAAAAATTATACTTTTTCATATTTGTCTTAGTATTGTCTTATACCAAATCTACATTTATAGCTTAAGCAATCCAGTAAGAGCTTGCTCCTATCGGATCCCCATTGGGTGAGCCATTGGCTAGCATAGGATAATCCTCCCATGTGTACGACTAAAACAGCCCCCTGCCCCAAACATCAAAAGAGTTCTATACTGCTGAAAAAAGCTCATACTGCTTACTTCAGTGAGCCACATTCTTTGACAAACATTGGTAAGATGCACAAAAATTGTTTAGAGAATCTCAGTATGCAAACTAGCCAGCTTTAAAATAAAATACAGAAAACCACTAATGAATGGCCAGGTTCTGTTCTGATTTTGGAGGAAAAGCTTCCAAAGAACTGAATGACAGAAAAGATTATTTTGGAATAGATTGAGCAGGAAATTCGTGTTTTGAGACAAATGTTATATATGTGATAGACCAGCACAAATATGTAGGAACTGGCAAGTATTTTAAAGAACAGAGTGGAACTTAAAATGTGTGTAGGCCTTCTATTGCATCCCTACATGAATGAATTTTATTCCAAGTGAGGCAGATAATATACAGGGATAATCCTCCCATGTGTACGACTAAAACAGCCCCCTGCCCCAAACATCAAAAGAGTTCTATACTGCTGAAAAAAGCTCATACTGCTTACTTCAGTGAGCCACATTCTTTGACAAACATTGGTAAGATGCACAAAAATTGTTTAGAGAATCTCAGTATGCAAACTAGCCAGCTTTAAAATAAAATACAGAAAACCACTAATGAATGGCCAGGTTCTGTTCTGATTTTGGAGGAAAAGCTTCCAAAGAACTGAATGACAGAAAAGATTATTTTGGAATAGATTGAGCAGGAAATTCGTGTTTTGAGACAAATGTTATATATGTGATAGACCAGCACAAATATGTAGGAACTGGCAAGTATTTTAAAGAACAGAGTGGAACTTAAAATGTGTGTAGGCCTTCTATTGCATCCCTACATGAATGAATTTTATTCCAAGTGAGGCAGATAATATACAGAATAATTCATGTTTTATGTAGAGTATATTAAAATTTTGCTGTTTTTAATCTAGTGGAAGCTGAATCTGAAGCTAGCTGCATCTTTAAAATAATTGAGTTATTTTTAATAATAAAATTATTAATGGGAAGTTGTGAATGATAACTTCAGTGTAAGTTAATCCCTGAACAGACTTCAAGTGATTTACAATTTATCTTCAATAGTACTTTTCTTGTAATGCATAAATAAATGTGAACTAACAAATGGATCATATATAAGCCATAAATTCAGACATTTTAAGTTAAGAATCTGTCTTTTGTTGCCTTGTCTTACAAAGATAATTCAATTCTCAGTCATTTTTACAGTCTAATACACTCTAAATACAAGTATATGATATATACATTTCTCTGCAAAATGATGTAACCAGCAACTTACTTTTTTTTTGTATTTTACCAGTGTAAGATGTTTAGAATAAAGCCTTTATAGTGTTTATAACTACTGTACACACAGTCTGAATGTTGCTAGACTACGGTTTTGAATAAGGCTGTAATATTATACTCCTGTAGCTTGAATTTAAAGCAAGTACACAATGGGTGCCTTTGTGAGATTTAGTGTTATTTCATTCCTTATGGGAATGTAAGTTTCAGGGGTGTGTGGCATATAAGCATTTTCCTTAATGCAATTGATTTTGCTTCAGTCATTTAAAGAGCTGTCAGAAAATAGTTGGGAAAGGATCAGAAAACAATGATAATTTGCCAATTTAAATGTTTAGCTAGTTTTGCAAAAGTCAGAATTGGAATGTTCTCCAGGAAAATCCTAAGAATATTAACGCCACAAACTTGTGAGCAGGTCAATTGGTCTAAGAATTTTCATGTTACCTCCTTTTTTTTTATATTTACCTAACTATTTTGGGCCAAACTGTTGGCCCCAGACCGGACAGACATGTTAGCAATGCTGGCAGGGCAGAGAGGCAAGTGACCTGTAGTAACTGGCCACATAAGGATTTCTCTGGCAAAGAGGAGATGGTGGAGACAGGAGTGGTTTGAAGCCAGGGTACGTAGGTATGCGGCACCATTCTTCACAGATCTGAAGATATAGGAAGATTAACGTTGGGTTCTGGAAAACTTAACCAGGCAGAAAACATCCTTGCTTTAACCATGTGCAACTGAGTTGAATTGTAACCTGTAGCTTGCAGTAAAGTATGTTTTTATCTCCTCACTCCAAGGTCCTATGATAGGCAAATCTCCAGCAAGATACAAGGATTAAACATGTGCAATATAATTTTATAAAAAATACTATTAACACGAATGCCTTTAAGAATTCCAAATAAAAGAAAACATAATGGTGACAGTCATAGGTTAGAAACTCCAACTCTTCCTTCAGGGAGAGTGGTTAGAATTTAAATAAATGCTGATTTCTGATTTCTTCCTTCCTCCCCATCTTGTAAAATTTAATTACGTAGAAAATGATAGCACTCATCTCCAGTAACGTATGCCATCCATATAGTTTGTGATACCTTAAAATAAGGCTTTCTGGGATGTAATACAGCAACTTGAGCAGAATTTACAGTGACAACCTGATCAGCTCGAAATAATAATGGGGCTCAAGTGAGAGGTAGGTGTCCAGTTACTGGCGGTGTGTGGGTGCCCATGTTTAAGTGCTAGCAAATTTTTGCTAGCAAATGGGTAGCAATTTGAGACACTTCCCATTTAGGTGGTTATCACATGTTTATAGTTCCATGTTGAGATACAGGTAATTTAAAGCTCACAGTTATTACCCATCCAGCAGCAGGCATGCACATCACATCTGATTTTTGTTTAACCTGTAAAAAAGAACCGCATTTATGAATGACAAATTCAGTAAGCCTTTAACTTTCCTGTTACACCGATCAAGTACTTTGCTGATTAGATTCATTCTATAGTTTGGAATGCATTTGGTGCATTCTCAGGTAAAAGGTATCTCTCTCAATTTTGCTTCATTATGCTCAGATGACCTGCTCCCTTTATACTTTGAAATGGGTGGTACTTGGACAAATATACCCTGTACCATTGAAATGTGGATACGCAAAAGAGTTCTGCTGACTTGATAAACATTTGAAAGAATATTTGAATTTCTTAATTTAGTCTGTCCTTTAGGACTTAACACTGACAACCATCATTTTATTGACACCTCACAGCCCTGTCCTAAACAGATTTTTTTTTTTCTTCTTGATGCTTATAAAAAGGCAATTTACTTCTAAATAAATGCAAACTTTTTTGGGGGTAGGGAGAGGAGTGGATATTTTAGGGTTCTGATCCCTAGTGTCATCTATAACACAAGAGCAGCTTGCACTCAATCGTTGTTTGAGGATATTCTACAACTCTTACTAGAAGAGTTGTAAAAACAACTTTTCTCAAAGCATCTTTTGGCATTAATGTTGTGGTGTTCTTTGATGAATGATTGAGGATGCTTTGTTTTGTGAATTTATTTATTCTAAGAAATATTGGGAAAAGCAGTTGCTAGATGGGCAGATTAGAGACAATTAAGTGTGTATGGCCTGGTGACAACTATGTAGAATTTTGCCGTAACCCTGTGTGGGTTTCTTTTTCCTTTGCTTTGTGGAAACAGTCATTAATGTGAATATTTTCTGGGCCTAAAAGTTGTGGAGGAGGTACATATGGGTTTTTAACAGTAATAGTTTATACTCCTGACAACATGCAATCCTAAACCAGAAATGTTCCCATGTGAGGTAGGTGTTCAATTTTATGGATAAAGTATTGAAAGATGTTTGCAGAAAATCACTTGCAAGCAAATACATTGGCTGAAAATTGTTTTCACAGAACATTTATCAGACCATTTAAAAAGTGAAAATTTAGTGAAAAATCCCTAGCTGTTTGTAAATCATCTGCAAATCATCATTTGCAAACAGGAGTATAATGACTGTGTCAAATGAATTACTGCGATGCTTTTGCTCACTGCTAGCCAGGTGTACCATACTTATACAACAGATGTTTGAATTTCCCAAGCTGTGCAGAGGCTTTAGGAGTTGGGCTAGCAGCACCAGCAACGACAGTACTACATGCTATTTTAGTATTATCTTATACAGAGTGCTCATGATTTGACTGTCTGTATTGGTTCCCAGACTTGAAGGACTTGGTTTCCCAGTAACTCTGTAGTGTGGTATTTATCCAAATTAGAGTTTGATTAATGAACAATAAAGACTCAACATTTAGGGTCTTGTAAATAAGCTTTACACTATTTTTTTTTTTATTGATTTAGCCAACGATTAAGGATTTGAGAGAGACTGGTTTATGGAATGTGCTTCTAAATTTTAGCATAGAATGACATAGCAGTCAAGAAGTTATAGATTCGTTAGACTATTCAAACGCATCTGACACTGTTTCTCCTGCTAAAATTATATAAGAGTTCTCTAACACTTGGTCAATATTGCTGTAAAGAAGGTTGGGAATACATTGAAATATACGGTTCTTTAAATGGATTACGCAAATAGGCATGTATGTTCAATAACTTGTCAATACTAAACCAGCATCTTCCAGGGCACTTAGGTATTTCTGGTACCGGAGTATATTCATTCAAGTGTTAGATCTAAAGTATGATGGAGATTCTCTTCCTTCAGATAAGTTACATCCCTTCTTTTTCTCTTAGCTTTACTAAAGATAATGGTCTAGAATTAATATGAGAATATTTGTATGAGTATTTTAATATAGAAAGCATGTTATAAATTAATTAACCCAAATGTAAGAAGTAGATTTAATTAATTTGTAGCCAATAAGGGCTTGACCGTGGAATGGGTTCAGCAACCTGACCTTTACTCAGCAAAGCATTTGAATATACATACATCACTGTAAGAAGAGACATTGCATCACTTAGTACAACTGTGTACATACCTACAGTAAAGCTTGTGTTGAATTGCTTTACCGGCAGTGATAGAAGCCTATTTTAGTTGGAGTGGGATATTGCTCCAGTGTGCTTAAAATCACACACACATGAAAAAGATAACATGACGTAGTGCACGTTAGATATCAGAAGGTAAGATGTGTCAGAAGTAGAGGTAGTGCACCCTTAACTGAGCCTTCTCATTGTCAAAATAAATCAGATCTGACATTCAGTCCTCAGGAGGAAGTCTTAATTTCTGTAGACTGTCAGTTACCATAGGAAAAAGAACATTTGTTCTTTTTTTTAAAGTACTTCGCTTCAAAAACTCAGTCTCACACATTAAATCCTGATGAACAAATGGCATTCTGATCGTGGATTTGAATAAAAATCAAAAAGCCAGCAATAAAATATCAAAAGTATTTCTAAGTGATGTAGGATTCTAAATAGTAAATTACGTACTTACTGTTAGACAGTGTTACTGTCTGCCTGTCTGCCACTTTAGGTATACAGGTAATCTTGAGGTCCCCTCATTAGCAGAAGCTCCTGTCAGGAGCTGGAGAATTTAGATTTTGGATATGTGATGTCTACGGTAGCAGTTAGCCATCACACAGGTGCCTGAAGCCTTTTTGTGATCTCTGTCCAAGTGCTAGTTTGCAGTATGGTTTAAACAAACACACAAGGGCCATAAAAGAATCAACGTCTGGTAGTTACTAAACCGTTTACTCTCCAGTTGTCCTTGGGGGGAGCTAAGATGAACCAATACCATATGGGAGCAGCCTGTGAACCCCAGAGGAATGCATGCAGCCTTTCTAGGAAACCACCCACTTCTCTTTCATTTGGACGTGGAGAAGGTCTTCCCTCCTCTGAACACAGGAAATCACATTCCCCTCTTGTTTTTCCTTCCAGACAACAGCCTCAAATTCCAATCACCACGGGAACGGGTGTTGTCTATCCTGGTGCTATTACTATGGCGACTACCACGCCATCACCTCAGATGACATCAGATTGCTCGAGCACCTCTGCCAGCCCTGAGCCCAGCATCCCCGTCATTCAGAGCACTTATGGTATGAAGACGGACAGCGGAAGCCTTGCTGGAAATGAAATGATAAATGGAGAGGATGAAATAGAAATGTACGAGGACTATGAGGATGATCCCAAATCAGACTATAGTAGTGAAAACGAAGCCCATGAGGCAGTCAGTGCCAACTGAGGAGTGTTCACAGAATTAAAGTACTCAGACTCACTTGGGTTTTTTTGGGTTTTTTTTGAACAAAAGTTCTTAAAGAGCCTGCATGCATGTGTGGCTCCTACAGTTACATCAGCAGAATGGTCTTAAATGTTTCTTAACGTGTGAGACAGATTGTTTCCCTAATTTTTCATGAACTTGGTTTTTTTGTTTTTGTTTTTTTTTTAATTTAGATGAAGACATATATTAAATATCAGACATCAGGACTTGAAAACTTATATGAATCAATAGCTGTCTTACAAGTCTTACCTTTTGTCTTTTTCCTTTTGGATGCTGATAAAGGTTTAAGTTACTGTTTTAGATGGGGGTTATACATTCTCACTCAGGTATGCTGTGCCAGCCTACAGGTTGTGAATGTGTTTTTATTCTGGATTATTTTAGAAAACAAAAACTGCAGATTTCATATTGTGAAACAGAACAAGTCCGCAAGTGTGCACATCTGTGCATCATAGCTTGTCTTTAAAAATTAGTCTCTGAATTCCATTTTTTTCCATATGTATAGCTGAACTTCTGATGTGCCAAACTTTTCATAACTTTTGAATCTTAACATTTAAAAAAAAAGTCTTAAAGGAGACACTGTAAAGTCTTAGACAATCCTTTGGCATCTTAAAAAAAATTATATATAAAACCTAATTTTTTCCAGAATATGGTAAAGTACTCAGGAATCTGGAGACAGGATATTCTTAAGTAGTGAACATGGTTGCCATAGTGCATGTGCCCAATTGCTTTTGCCTCTTGATGTGCCATTAGTGTGAAATTTTAAGTAAGCACAAAAGAGCGATCACCAGCTATGGACGGGCCTGTCTTAGCAGTGTGAGGCCACCTCTGATTACATTCTCTACCCCTTTGCTTTTAACCCTTGCATTCAGTCTTAACACATTTTCTCTTAAATAATTTATTCATTCCAGAATGTCAAGGGTCCAAATACTTAATATTTATTTTTGAAAGTACTGTTGGTGGCATTACACTTCCAATTCCTTATTGAAATTTTAAAGAGCCCCTTCTTTCTCCTCCCCTAAATTACACAGGTATATGAAAATAAAAGTGCACCTGCTACTAAAATGAACGTGACATTTATGAATGAGAAATTCAGTTGTTCCTGTGACACTGTACGTTCAAGGAGCACTTGGAAACACTCTACTACATGTAATGCAAAATAAAGTGGGTACTTTTATACGTACATACAGTACAAATATTCCTAAACAATTGTGTTTATAGTTACAAACCTCTATACTTAGACAGCAAAGGCAGATGTAAAATCCAACTGCATGTAGAGTCCACCATGATGAATTTTTAGGGCCTGTAGAATCCTGCATTGAATCATGGCTCCATACATCCTGTTCCTGTTGTCACCTGAAGGAACCATTTGCTACCTTAAGTATTTATGCAGTGATTTATACGTGAGAATCCTAGTGGGGGAGGGAAGGCCACACAAATATATGACTTGCAAAGCTGGGAAAATGGTGAATCAAAAATATTTATTGAATATTAGTCATGTGGGAATGTGAGCCAGATCTTGATAAATGCTTGTCAAGTGCTTTGCGATCTTTGGATGTAAGGTGCTATAGAAACTAAAATTTGTATTCATATTACTGCTAGAAACAATGCAACTGCTAGAGAAAATTCTGGGAAATATACAAGAGGGAGATATTTGAAGACTGTGAATTTATTACATTTCAGAGACAGAGAAGAAATGGCCTTTATTTTTTTCCCTCACACTCCACTTCTGTTGACAAATACATCACTGTATCTATATGCAGATCCAATGGGCCTGATGAATACATGTGCTGAAGCTCCTCAACTCCCTCAGCTTTAATTTTGAATTGGATATGTTCAGCACATTGGTGATAAATTCAGACTCAGGCTGAGAGGTATGAGTGGGCCTAGAGCAGCTCCTCTTGAAGTCTGCGAGAACCTTCCCAGAGAGATGAATGGGCTTTGCTTAGGGCCCAGACAACAAAAGAAGTATAGTGTTAATGCTGGCTATCCTCGTGCTCTCATCCTATCCTGCACGTGAGGTGTGATGCCAAGATGCTGTTACCAGGAGCAGTCATTTTCCTCCTAGCCCCACTAATACCTACTTGAGCAGAGATAGCCATTGTTGCCGCTGTAGGAATCACATTTAAATGCGCGAGAACAACCCCCAAGACAAAGAACATTGTTCAATTTACAGGACAATTTATAAAGATAATGGCGTAGAAACACAATGGTCAAATTTCTCTGACCATTTTGTAATTTGGAACAAGATGCTATATTTTTAATATTTATTTGAATGTGTTCTGAGTCCATGTCTAATAAGCAATAAACTGGTCTAGCCAAGACTTTAAAGGCATATGCTGTGTCATTAGCTGGTGAGCGCCCTCTTTAAGCTGGCTAAGGTACTGATAGAAAGTGGTTTTTGTTCTTATAATTGCTTGGGAATTTGAACTGTTTTTAATACATTCAGCTCAGACTGGGGGGAGGATACCATTATTTCCTAAAAAAATGACTATTTATTAATGTCTTACATAATTCTCCAGTTAGAAGTATATCTCCCTCTCCCCACGTCATTTTCTTTCTCTCTTCATCTCTTTTTTTCTGGTTTTGTTGCATAGGTAGAATGCTGTATTGCTAGCATTGTATTTTATGTAATTATTTTTTTGCACAAAGGCAAACACTTAGATTAGTTGGTTAATTTTTTTAAATTTTATGACCATGCCAAAATAATATTCTGCAGGCTTGTGGAGAACAAAGGACTGTTCTTTAGGACTGAAACTTGATTTTGCTTGTAGTACAAAAAAACACACACTCACAGATGTTGTTTCGTAAGTGTTATAAGCACTGGATATAAATGGTATTTTTTATCACTTCTGACTAATGTGAAACTGTTGTACGAAAACTACATGAACAAAAGTCATCTGTTTCGACTCGTGTGGGCCTGCCTCACAGTTGCCGGATTTGAGTCATTTTTATGTCTTGTTATTTCATTTATTTATGCAAAATACATGTATGTATGAACACTTTGTTTTAGCTCCAGCCCTGCCTCAGTGCTGATGCTCTGTATGTTAAAGCCACGTTCTTGAAAATGACTGGCTTTTCAGGAATCGCCAACTGGTAAAAATTGCATTTATTGGCTGGGGGAGTGGGAGGAACATACCTGAATCTGAATTGTGCATATGAGCATTTTATTCTATTTATTAGCCGACATTGGCTCTAAAATGTCAGTAGAAATCAAGAAAGGACAATCATAAGGATAAAACCCAACATTTTTACTTTATTAATTGGAGCTCAAAACAAAGTTTTTGATGAATTTACCATCTCATTTTAGAATTTTTTTAAATTGTGTAAATATAACATAGGAAATAGAATTTTATTTTTTGTTCATGGATACTTAGTGAAGTATAAGTTATGTATTTACTTTTGTTCTATATCAGTGTATGTTGGTCCATATTAAATGCTGACAAGTCACTGTACCTCATGTAGATGCTGAATTTACACCCGCAGTGTGAGCGCAGTATTGTGGACCTGTAGCTGGGACAGCAAGATGCCTCACTTGTGCTCTCACTGATTTTTAATAGCATATTCCACAAACACAGAATACTTTCTTCTTTTTTAGAAAGTTGATGCATTAAAGATACCAAATTTCTGATACTTTTGATAGGGAACACAGTCTTCTGAATCCAATGAGTTATTTTTACTTCTTAACAAGAATGGCATTTGGAAGTCAAAAGCATATCCCTGGAAAGATTATCATGGCTAAGATGGCCCTTGCAATGCAGTCAAGACTTAAGAATATCAAACTTTTATTTTCTACATTCATTAAATCACGTTATTGTCATATTAGGCTATAATACCAGCGGAAATTTTTCGCAGAATACACAGAGAGGACTTGTGGAATTGCTTTTTAAGCATAGTGTTTGGGGCCCCTTAATAACTCTGACTGAAAAAAATAACAACTCCATTCAGGTAATGCACAAATATAGTAATACTATTTTCTCTGTGAACAGACAGTTTATTTAATTAACAGATACAATATATTTTCTTTCTGGAAAATGATAAAGTACTTATTTTCAAGAGAAGAACACTCCCAAACCAGTCTGATAGAATAGTTCATTTCATATTTCATAAAAATGGAAGCTAAAAGTCTTAATGGAAACAGAACTGCTTTCCAGGGTTCAGGTTTACATGGAGAAATGACGGTGGTGAAGTGGCCCGGTTCTGGTCTGCCTGTATGTTTGGGCATCACCATTTCGCTTGTGAAACTGCCTGCTGAGAATACGTGCGATCACAACGTGCTCCTAAATCGGTGTACTCAGGTGCAGCGCGAGGCAGGGGGCGGGCAAAAGCGGGGATCGCTCCGGGATGGGAATGCAGAACAAACGGCAGCATTAGTGACGATAAACGCGATACCCTGTGCGCAGCGTGCAGCAGTCAGCTGTGGGCAGCTCCCGCTCTGAGCACAAACACAACCACCTCCCAATGCAATGTAAAACGTAGTCCTCTCTCTGGGTTGGCTTTCTGGTTCTGTTTTTTGGTTGTATCAAAGGCATGGCATTTCAAAATCATTTGCTAGCAAAACATACTACAAGATTAACACCCCCCATCCTCCCCCAGCAAAACACTTACCTACCTGCTTAATATTAAGCACGTTAGTGCTCCCACGGTGGTCAATGAGGACCAGTAAAGTGTTGGTGTTAAGCGGGGCAGACTTCGCTGAGCCAGGGCCACGGTGTGAACCAACTGCACTGGAGATGCAGCCAGCAGAATGTATGATAGAGTTCTTCATGTTTTTAGGAGAAGTTAATGAATGGGCTTGGACCCTTGGTGTTCTGCATGCTTTTTTAAAATTCAAGTTGGCACTTAAGCATGTTCTTTTAAAAGAATAATACTATATGACCTCGTTTGATCTTTTCCAAAACACTTGCTCTTTTTTCCTTTAAGAAAAACTTCCCCCAAAACGTTTTTTTTATATAACCCATTAATATCTGTGATTTTTCTCAGATCAAACTACATTTTCGATATACTGTAATGTCCTGCTACAGAAGGGAAAAAAAGTATATGCAAATATATTTCATTTTAATCCATCACCCTTTTTTAATTACCAGATTTGTTGGAAATGGTGACAAAGAAGTATTCTGAGATTTCACACACTGGGTAAAAAGGGGGGCGGGGGGGTGGGTGTACTGGGCTAAAGGAAAACTTATCAAATTGGTATTTATGGCAATATGAAAGCTATAAAGCAACTTAGTGACATGGCTTGCTTTGTAATTTCCGCTTTCTAAAAACCACAAGTGAGGTCCTTGGTGCTCTTGGAGTATGGGGAATGTGCAAATATTTAACTGTTTGTATGCTGCACATTGCAGACCTGCTAGTGTGCATTCTCCGTTTGTCTTCCTTTGTCATTTGTGTTTTGCTTTCTAGAAAGCAACGTTTTTTTTTCTTGTACCCTTCTTCAGCTTGTAGCAAACTAGAATGCTTAGCATTTATGTTCATTCATTATTGTATTTCCCATGTAAAAATTTTTTTATTACATTAAGACAAGCTTATAAGCTGTTACTACATAACTTATCTTACTGTAACTCTTATTTCCTGACATTGTAATTTGTTTGTGATGTATATTGTGAGATTGTACTCTATGTTAATTTAATCAGCACAATTCACTGACATGCTGGACTGACATGCTAGCTGCTGTTTCAAATTGTAAAGTTTGTGTAGAGCTGTTGGGACAACTGAGACTCTCGTCAAGGTACTATGCTTTGATTCCTATAGCAACACTGTGGGTGCAGCTCTTAACGGTGAGGGCTGCTCGTTGGACACCCACTGGCTAACTTAATGGGCAGGTTTTCTTTGTAGAAATTCTATATACAATGCAGGTACCTACCTGGGCCCATGGCCGGTAATTATTTGGGCGTTTAGAGGAAAAACTAGTGTCTATTGCTGCTTTGAATATGTTTTAAAGTCTGAAAATGTAAATAGTTTATCAAAAAAAATCTTGTACAGTCCAGTGTAAAGTTTTTAAATGAACTTAAAGGTTGCCATCACATCTCACACTCTCCTCTTGATACAGTAAAAAAAAAAAAAGAAAAAAGTTTGCTAAGAATACTGATTTAAAAAAAAATCTGTTCTCAATTTAAAAAAGAGAATAGTTATTCTTAGCTCTGCTTCATTGCATAAACAGACTTCTTGGATTTTGTTGTGCAGTATTGACGTGAGGTAAATTAAATATTAAATAATCTTTCAGTGGTACTTTTAAGAGTCTTCTCCTCCTCTGCCTCAGTTATTAATGGAAAAGACAAAATTGAAAGACACTGTCCATATACAGTATGTTCTGGTGTACGTTGGCACCTTACCTACATGTTTCGGGTGGGGGGGATTTTTTTTTAATTTTTTTTTTTCTTTTTTTTTTTGCACAAGGTGCTTTCCTGATATGTTAAACATGTCATCCTTGGGTGATACAGTATATGCCATGATAGGGGTTTAGACCCCTCAGGGGAGTGTCTATAAGACTGCCTATTTATGCTCATTTACCTCAAGACTGTCCTCTCTACCCTTAATCTATTCACCATCACTCCATCTTTTGTACTGCTGTTGACACTTACAAATTAAAGATAAATTTTGTTTTATGAGATGTGTGTGTGACTTCTTCTATGGATCCCTTATTATCCCTTTGAAGTTATCATTAAAGATTGACCATGATGAGCTGATGGACAGGAAAATGCAACCAGGCCTGTTCAGCTGGCCTTCTTTAAATTCAGCAACTGAATCTTCCAGCTCTTAGGTTCTCCCCATGCCTTTCCATTCTACAAAGGCATTTATCAGCCTCTGAAATCCATTAACACCATATGCTGTAAAAGACATGCATGATAACCAACCTAATTTGATAATATTCACTGGGTACTGTCAATTTTGTAAGCAGGAAGCGCTGTTGGTAGCAACATAATCTCAGAAGGGTTTTTATTGAGTAGAAGTGAGACAAAACGGTTCTCATGTTTCTTCTTTCTTTGCCTTCCCCTTTTCCGCTGCATATAACATTAAACAAACTAACCAAAGTTGACAACAAAAACCCCTATAGTTGCCATATTGCCATGTCTGTAAACTGCTGCCATTTGCGTATTATGATTGGCTTTTGACTTAGTAATTAGTCATGGTTCTCACAGGAAAAGAATAAATTACATTGAAGTGTACTGTACTATAATGTAACAGAACATTTTGATTGTGCATTACATCAGATTTCAGCCTAGTTTCAGTCATTGCATAAACCACCCTGAAACATCCAAGTGGGAAAGAAACCTCACTTCCCTGGAGAGAGCATCATATATGACATTATTAAAAACTGCATTATGAATCTATGTGATGAAATACTTCAGGGTTGAAAGTGGATGTAATGAAGTTGCTGACCAGCGTGTTATAATGTATAAATACATAAATATTGACTTGTGCAATTTAAGCCTTGGTTTCTGGTAAGCGACCAGCTAGTTAGTCCAACTGCAACACTAAAGTGCTCTTGAGGAGAAGGCAGAAAACCCCTGTATTTCTGCTACTGAATCTACAACAGTTCGACCAAATGTCGCAATGGCCATACCGTAAGTTTGAAAAACAGAGTTAGGCACTAGATCACAGTCAGTCCAGCTTAAGCTAGTAAGGTCAAAAGCACCTGGAGATGAACCACCACGTCATTGGTCCTGAATTTTACTTTCATATGATACATCTGAAACGGGGTCCAGTGCTCTGCTGCTGTATTTTCATATTGCTCCACTTAACTTATGCCATCCAAATTTTAGCTTTTTCTCTGTTTTCCCCCTGTGCACCCCTTACCACATGATTGGTCTCCTTTTCTGGCTGGAATCTGCAGCTGTGAATAATGATCAGTAATCTGGGAAACACTGGTGGTGTCAGTTGGGTTGTTACATAGGTACAATGAAAAGCAAGCTGAGGAATGGCATACAAAAAGTCACGG